AGAGCGTGTCAAGAGATTCCATTAATTGTCACAGGGCGTGTAAAGACTTTTTGACATGGTCTTTACACGTCTTTGCACTGCGTGTGCCAAGAAGTGCAAAGAGGTGTAAAGAGTTGAATTCATCGCGTGTCAAGAGGTGTAAATAATTGGCACGTCTAGAAACCCGGCGTGTAAAGACCAGTTTCTAGACGTGTCAAGAGTTGGAATCCCATATTTCACGCAGTGTAAAACGTTACTTTATTGGACTTTAACTTTTCCCCACACATGCCGGAATGTATGATTTTTTATGAAGGCATTCTTAAAACACGTTACTTTGCCTTAAAAACATTACTTTATAGTCTAACTTTTCTCCTCGAAGAATGGATGATTTTTAGGTAAGCATTTTCAAAACACAGTACTTTGCCAATAAAACGTTACTTTATCGGACTTTAACTTCTCCCCACAAAGAATGTATGATTTTTTATGTAGGCATTCTTAAAACACGTTACTTTGCCTTAAAAACGTTACTTTATTGGACTTTAACTTTTCTCCTCGAAGAATGGATGATTTTTAGGTAGGCATTTTCAAAACACAGTACTTTGCCGATAAAACGTTACTTTCGTGGACTCTAACTTTTCTCCTCGAAGAATGGATGATTTTTTAGATAGGCATTTTCAAAACACAGTACTTTGCCGATAAAACGTTACTTTCGTTGACTCGCGTGGACTCTAAATGTTTCCATGCCAAGTTGTTAAAACACGTTACTTGGCCAGTTTATTCCTTCAAGTGTCGAACATTTTAGCCTGGCATTTTTAAAAAGCGTAACTTTGGCCGATTTCCGTAACTTTCTTGTACTCTTAAGTTTTCCTCCATCGAGCGTTGGTAAATTTTAGGTAGGCATTTTCAAAAAGCGTTACTTTGGCCCTTTTCCGTTACTTTCTTGGACTTAAACTTTTTTGCCCAATTGAGTATTTTGAAAAATAAGGAATCAAAGGACGATATTGAACAGTATTTTGTAAAAGTAGAAACAATTGTACGAGGCCTAACTTTTGTATATTTTGGTTTGTTTTGTAGTTAGCTATCATATGTGTGGCCTCTTATATTTCGATGCTTCTCTGCCATGACATTTTCGACACGAAAAATTAACATGGATATTTTCCACGAAAGTAACGTTTTATCGGCAAAGTACTGTGTTTTGAAAATGCCTACCTAAAAAGCATCCATTCTTCGAGGAGAAAAGTTAAAATCCAATAAAGTAACGTTTTTAAGGCAAAGTACTGTGTTTTGAAAGTGCGTGCATAAAAATCATCCATTCTTCGTGGAGATCAGTTAAAGTACAATAAAGTAACGTTTTAAGGCAAAGTAACGTGTTTTGAAAATACCTGCATAAAAAATTATTCATTCTTCGTGGAGATCAGTTTAAGTCCAATAAAGTAACGATTTTAAGGCAAAGTAACGTGTTTTAAAATGGCCCTACATAAAAAACCATCCATTCTTCGTGGAGTATGGTTAAAGTCGAATAAAGTAACGTTTTACTGACAAAGTACTGTGTTTTGAAAATGCCTAATATAAAATCATCCATTCTTCGTGGAGATCAGTTAAAGTCCAATAAAGTAACGTTTTTAAGGCAAAGTAACGTGTTTTAAGAAGGCCCTACATAAAAAACCATCCATTCTTGGTGGAGTATGGTTAAAGTCGAATAAAGTAACGTTTTACTGACAAAGTACTGTGTTTTGAAAATGCCTAATATAAAATCATCCATTCTTCGTGTAGATCAGTTAAAGTCCAATAAAGTAACGTTTTTAAGGCAAAGTAACGTGTTTTGAAAAGACTACACAAAAATTCATCCATTCTTCGTGGAGAAAAGTTAAAGTCTAATAAAGTAACGTTTTTAAGGCAAAGTACTGTGTTTTGAAAATGCCTAATATAAAATCATCCATTCTTCGTGGAGATCAGTTAAAGTCCAATAAAGTAACGTTTTTAAGGCAAAGTAACGTGTTTTAAAATGGCCCTACATAAAAAACCATCCATTCTTCGTGGAGTATGGTTAAAGTCGAATAAAGTAACGTTTTACTGACAAAGTACTGTGTTTTGAAAATGCCTAATATAAAATCATCCATTCTTCGTGGAGATCAGTTAAAGTCCAATAAAGTAACGTTTTTAAGGCAAAGTAACGTGTTTTAAGAAGGCCCTACATAAAAAACCATTCATTCTTGGTGGAGTATGGTTAAAGTCGAATAAAGTAACGTTTTACTGACAAAGTACTGTGTACTGTGGAGATCAGTTAAAGTCCAATAAAGTAACGTTTTTAAGGCAAAGTAACGTGTTTTGAAAAGACTACACAAAAATTCATCCATTCTTCGTGGAGAAAAGTTTAAGTCCAATAAAGTAACGTTTTTAAGGCAAAGTACTGTGTTTTGAAAATGCCTGCATAAAAAGCCATCAGTTCTTCGTGGAGTATGGTTAAAGTTGAATAAAGTAACGTTTTACTGACAAAGTACTGTGTTTTGAAAATACCTAATATAAAATCATCCATTCTTCTTGGAGATCAGTTAAAGTCCAATAAAGTAACGTTTTTAAGGCAAAGTAACGTGTTTGAAAATGCTTCCATAAAATTCATCCATTCTTCGTGGAGTATGGTTAAAATCGAATAAAGTAACGTTTTACTGTCAAAATACTGTGTTTTGAAATTGCCTACATATAAAAATCATCCATTCTTCGTGGAGATAAGTTTAAGTCCAATAAAGTAACGTTTTTAAGGCAAAGCACCGTGTTTTGAAAATGCTTACATAAAATTCATCCATTCTTCGTGGAGTATTGTTAAAGTCGAATAAAGTAACGTAAACCATATATTATGAGGTTATATAATGGTTCTTTCTGTATATCGTGTTTATACTCGAGTGAGTATATGATATATTCTCAAGTGAGCGTAGCGAACGAGTGAATATATTATATTCTCACGAGAGTATAAAATGCACGATATACAGAATGAACCATTATATAATCTTATTATGCCACTCTAAGTTCAATGTACAGTTGATTCGAACACAATCGACAATAAAACCATAAAAATATCCCATACTGAGCCAACCAAGGAGGATTGGAAGCCAGGGTTCCAACTCGATATTCTTTAATCTCCACGCATGCGTCATTTGCTATTCGTGTCTGTATAATTTGTACGACTGCATGGAGAATGACCCGATACTCTCCAACAAAGCTATCGCTAGGTGATTGTTTTGCAGAATATCGGTGTTGCATTCTGGGAGCCAATCCTCAATAATGCTGATATTGATCTCGAACCATTTATGACGTGGCTTGATTCTAGCAAATCATGCCGGCACCATTTATGACGTCACTTGATTCTAGGAAATCATGAAAATTTTCATGATTTTTTTATTCATTAGTTCCCAGAATCAGGCCTGTCAACTTGGGAACACCTAAACATGAGTGACTTGGAAATGTTGAACACCTCCCCTCAACATGTGGACACCTTGGTCCAAATCTGAACACCTTGATCCAAATTTTGAACACCTTGGTTTAAATTTCATTACATCTTGCCAAATTTTGAACACCTCAAATTTGTCGCGCTCGCTACGCTCGCGTTTCAAACATCCGTCAACGGGGGGGGGGGGGGGGGGGGGGGGGGGGTAGGTACGAAAAATTTCGAACGGAATGCGTGACATATTCGTAATTCGCGTGAAAAGTCCGAACGAAATGCGTACATTTTTTTTCCGGCGTTCGTATTTTTGCTGTGTAGACGATCTTTTTTAGAATTTTTTCTACAGAAATATTTTTGCTTGACAATTACCAGGTAAAATGCGTATTTGCGTGACATTTTCTGTCACGCAAAAATAACTGGCGTGACTTCAAATTCTTCAGCAAATGCGTGACAAATGCGCAAATTGCGGGACAGTTGACAGGCCAGCAGAATGCACTTCTACAGTGGTATACGCTGGAGTGTATACGGAGGAGTTGTATACGATGACGATATACCACTCTCCACTGTATATCGTTGTTATAGACCCATGTTATACAACTGTAATTGGACTTAGAGTGGTATAATGTATTATAGATTTTGAAATTGCCGTTTTATACGGTACCGTTTATAGCCTTGATTCATGATCAAGATACACTATCGATACAAATCATTTTTGCATTTAGGAAGTCATAAAGCGTCTACGTGATCTTATAAAAATGGAAAAATTATCGGATATGTGTTAGAATCTATTTTGATAATATCATGATCACGAGTTATCATCGAAAAATTTGTCCAGCTTGGGGGAGAATGCTATTTTTTATAAAAACAATAAGAAAATGTCACAAATTATTTTTTGACTCATATGTTTCGTTATTCCAAAGATAATTAATTACTCCATGCATTGAATTATATCATTTGCGGCTAAACTTCGATCCTGTCTGTCCAATAATGCTAGGAGTAAAAGCTATTGAAAATGGCGCCTGGTATCATACTCTGGAAAAATAGCATGCTCCCTCAAGCTGGATAAATTTTTCGATGACAACCCGTGTTGATATTTTATATCATGAATGGACTTGGATCCCGTTGGTTCTGCACCGCACGAGCATGATATCCACATCCTGAGTTTGTCTTCACGCATCGTCTGAAATGACTTGAAACTGAAGACACTTTTCTTACCGTACCAGGACGACATCTATTAATCGTGTACAGCAAAAATAAATAAGTCACTGTAACACACCGTTGCTGGGCTGTTGTTTTATTCCTGTTCTTGTACAGCACCTCGATAAGCTGTATGAGTCACGAACTGCAGTATTTTATAAGTAGAAGCTTCTCATCATTTAACATAATATTCATACATTATTGAAACGATGGAGTGGATTATTCCATCATCCTACAAATAAAACATTTGTATTTTAATAAAATCAAACATGACATATTCACAAAAGTTTGAAGGCATAATTTACCATATATAATTATTATTTTATAGAATGTCATATAAAATGTAAAACATGGCGACTTAGCGTTTTATGACACTTTTCCAGGTTGCGACATCTTGTCAATTTAATGTCACGTATTACCTTTTTCAGAGAGGTAATTTAGACACGTGTGACAACATAATAGAACGTCGTATTTTAGATAATGACAAATTAATTTTTAAGCCCTGGACTCAGTACAATATGGAATGACTATCCCTTGAAGGTGTCGCTTTCCAAAATTTGCGCGAGATGCACAGCATCGAGTGTGAATCTTAGGAAACCCCTGAAAGGAATGCTCATTGGACAATGCATTGAGTCTTGGGCTTAAATTCTTTTCACACATTGCAAAATATTTTATACCATGCCACTAAAAGATACAAAATCACTAAAAGAACACATTTTCAATGAAACCTTTTTCAAGGGTCAAGTTGGCAAAGCATCAATTTCAATCTATGAGTTAAGTTGTCACCTTGACAACGACATAAGGAATGACCTTAATTGGATGCGGTGATTGGTTATATAATGCACTGCAGTTATATGAAATACTGTGTTCGGATTGGCTAGAATCGCAAGCACTTTGCCTAGCTATGTGTGAATTAATGTCGTCTTATTATGGCCACAGTTTGTTGTGACAAGCGTTTTGTGTTACTTTTCCTGGTGGTGACATTTTATCATGTTAATGTCTTGTGATATTTCTTTCGGAGTGCTGGTGTGATTTAACCATTTTTTTAACAGAACGTCATATTTCAAACAATGACCAAATTGATTGTCGTCGTGTTCCGATATCAAAGGCCCATCCTCCGAATGATCCAGTCCCTAAAAAGGCTCCTTATGTTTACCCTTCCAGTCCTTTTCAGGCTCATAATACTGTGTCTCAATCTTGCAAGTGCCATGATTTGTAATCGTTTGGAATTGCATAACAGTTTTGTTTTGCAGATACACGAATCGAGACTTGAGCAGCAGAGAAATCCTTTAACTGCCCTTAACGGACAAAATGTATTCCAACCTCGTTTTGAGCTCCGTGAAGTGACGTTATGATTGTTAAGATTTTTGCTTTTTCCCTCCTGGCTCGGTAGACCAAATTGATCTTGTGGCAAAACCAAAGGTACCAATGCCATTATCTGTAATAAAAAATAAGGAGATAGCACTAAAGGATCAAATTCTACGTTACAGGTTTATTTTGATAAAATAATTAAAATGGCTCCCTCATTGGGGTCAAATGAAAGAGTTCATTTTAAGACTCAGGATTCCAAACTTTTCTTAGGCTTATTTATGTCTTTCCATCTTATTTTGAACACAGCAATTAAAACTAAAATGGAAATATATCTTCTATTGTAGTGTTCCCAAAATTGTACAATTTTTTCTTCTCTTTTCTTCGACAAAACGTGTTTATAAATGTACTACTATTAGTATTTATACACGAATTGAAGTAAAAAGGTTGTGTTTTCCTCTTTTTTCCTCTTTATACCTCACGATGCCCATGTCAGCAGTTTGAAACTCTGACAAACTGCGCGCATATTTTAAAATGTGAGACGGGGTGGACAAGACTCCCAAAAAGAGCCAAAATACGAAAAATACAAGGTTAGTCTCGTTCTAAAGATAGTACCAATCTGTGAAGATGAACTTAATTTACTCATAGTACTCAATGTTTTTCCCGATGTAAACCTAGTTATCTCAATATAAGGGTCTTAAGTAACTTCTGTGTTCAAAATTTACAGTGTAAAGTTATATCTATGCCTTTTTATCGTCATTTGCCGTTTATTCAGCCATTGTGTCTGTGTATGCTAGAATATATAGGATCACTCCATCTGATTAAATCAGCAAAGTTTGTGTTCAAAACGATAATACGCCATAAACGTGATTTAAACATTTTTCTTGTCAAACTGCGCGCCTATAACCTATTCACAAGTATTTCCCAAACTGCGTGCCTAATATTTGCAAACTGCTTGCCTATCCAAGCTTGTTTTGTATTATTAGAAAACATAAGCGCCATACAAGGCACATATGTGTCTAATAGTAGAACCCCATAATTGAAACACTATGAGAGTCCATCCACCAAGATGGTGATCTGAAAATAAAAGTTTTTTTCGTTCCCAACTTAATTGTCACTTCTATTATACATTTTGACTTTCAATATGAAAATCTCATAAAATCTGACGATAAAGCAAATTTCCAAAGCTACATGAAAAACACCTACACGTGCCTCTGTAGAAATTCCAATGATAATATGTAGTTTTAATAGTGTATGCGCACAGTTTGTAATTTCTGGCTAAAATAGGCGCGCAGTTTGTGATTTATTTATTTTTAATCTCCTGATTATCTGTTTTATCTCGAAATATTTTGAATTATACATGATAAATGTGTAAGGAATTAAATATAAAACGAGTCTAAAGTATTTGTCGTTTATGTTTAAAGTGCTAGATCGATTTACGTATAAATTCCCGTTAAATCAGTGACGAAAATGCCATTAATCTGCTTATATTTTAAAACTTAGATTCATTTGCACATAGTTTTTGCTAGTATTTGCAAGATTCGTATATTCGCCACAGAATGAACGTATTGAACAAGAAAACAATGCAGGATAAATGTCTTTAAATTACGTTTCAAAATACAGACTCCAACTTAAATGATGCAATGTTCTTAGGCACGCAGTTTGTGATCGAAACAAACTGCGCGCCTAAGTAGGCGCGCAGCTTGACATGGGCACCGTGTACCTTAACGTACAAAATAAAACGGTTATATTTCAGAAATAAAATATTATTTGAAGTTTGACATGAATACCACAAAATATATTCGAACCTTTTTGGCTTTAGGCATTTCTACATATCAATTTATTTTTACCCTGGGTGATAATGGGCATAATTGATAGAAATATAGAAAATGGAACCCTTATGCCCTTATTGACTTCAACCTTTTAGTTGTTTTACAAAAATATATTTTATTTATTCTTCAAGTACATTCACACACCCTTGGGGTCAAGTACATGTACAAACAAAAATTATAAGGAAGGAAAAATATATTTAAAAAAATATATATATATTTAGGTAAATAAGTCATCTAATGATAAATAATTTCGGTCTTCATTTATCAATAAAAGTAAATAAATTCATTTGTATATTTATTTATTGTTCGATAAAACTTACCAGATATATCACATTTAGTGTGCTCTTTGTCATACTCAGTTCCTTCTCAGCAACTGTGGACTACCACACTGTCAACTCTTCAATATATAATACTTTCAAAGACCCAAATAGAACCCATACACGCAGATCATGCGATCCAATAACATTACGTGTGATTGAACGTGGTTTGCAAACGCCAATAGAATTCAGTATTCTCTGCAGAACGGCATCATTTTAAGGGATAAAAGGCATAACTATATTTCTATTACGTGTGTTGTTATAATCGAATGACTACAGGGTGTTTGAGAAGTTGCTTCAGAGTTTTTATAGTATAACAAGATCATCACTTTCCAACAGGTAACGTTAAAAGAAATATAGACCGAAGAGCAGGGGTAATATTGTCGAATACACCCCGCAGGGCTAGGCACAAACGTTTTCTGTACCCCGAATGACCGAAGGGAGTGAGGGGTTCAAAGGCGTTTGTGCCTAGCCCTAAGGGGTGTATTCGACGATATACACCTGTTCTGAGGTCGCCCGAGGTATATGAAAACATGAACATTTCATTATGGCCCGCCATTACTCAGCCCGCCGTTATGACGTCACATATTACACATTTTAACAGGGGTATTGTTCGCGAATAAACCCCGGGTGAAATGTTGACTTTGCTTTCCATTTATAGAAGGCATGAAAACAGTCATGTTCGAATAGATGTTTTAGTATTTTGAGATGACAAGTGAGAAAGTGATTACCATGGTTAATATCTCTTGTTAATGAATATATATATTCAACTAGACCTAGTATATATTTAACAATTCACAATAATGCCCAGATCATATCTAACAAAGTAAACACTTTTATGAAAATGTATTTGTCCAGTTAGCGATTTTTCCTCAGTATCCTTGAAAACTTCAGGAGCAGCTTCTCCCAAGTTCTCAAAACCGCCCATGGTCTGAAACAAAGCTTTTAAAATTACTATTCCAATGTCAATCAATTTGTCTTATATTAGCACACATGATCAAGGGTGCAGTTGACTTTATTTTTAGACACCCTGTAGAAACCGTTTATTAAAAACTGTCACATTGCTTTAATAAGCAATAATAATAACTTAATGGTTTATTAACGTTTCCTTTGAGCAAAACAATAAGTTGAATTTCCGTTTGTCCCTCTCATGAGACAAAATATAAAACGAAGATAGAATCTAAATAGATTGTTAATGTCACTGCAAAATGATGGCTATTCCAAATAAAATAGCGATTATAAATGTCGGTCTCTAAAATAAAGGGATTCACTCGTTCGAGTGATTTGAAGCAGTCTCAAGAATTCATTTACAAAGCTCCACTTTTTGAAAAAAAGTTTATTATAAAAAAACAAAAGGTGCTTCTAAAAGTCACAACCGTCTTCTTCAGTTTTGTCTTAAAAGGTTTTACAGACGCTATGTTTGCCTAGTGGGCCATTCTGTTCTGGTCTTTATTCGTTATTTGCTAGTTTTCTTTTCCTGGTTTCTAGGCACTACGAAAACAGGCCGGTTGCTATGGTGAATTACGTAGTCGCTTACACTGCCCAATAAGGTACGAGCAACTCTACCTAATCCACGAGAGCCCATGACAACCAAACGAGCATCTTGTTCTTCAATGAATTTCACCAGTGCGGGGCCTGGTTTGGCGCCTTTCGGATTCTCTGCAACTATTTTCCCGCTTATCTGTAAAAGCAGAATTGATTTGTAGAAAATATGACTAGTAAAATTATAAATCGATTCAGATGTCAAAATATCTTAAATTAAATAAATAAAAATAGAATAATAATCTAATTATTCGTTTCATCTTTTTCCACTCATCTCTATCTCGATCTTTTATTCCTTTTAATGACAACGCTGACAAACTATGGAATGTATGGTAAGTGTCACGAGCATTCATTGTTAGCGTGCATTTTGTAAATGGCCTAAATATTCCAAACAATACCTTGTATTTTTCAAGCTTTTGTTTATATATTCGCATGAGGTCTTTTACTATTTCTTGTTCATCCTGTATATGCTTTTGCAAAACATCAGCTAGAAAAATAGAAAATAGAAGTACATTTACACACTTGCAATTCATTCATTTCTCTTATCTGTTATCACCTGTTTGAGCAAAAATGCCAACCCATAATACGATCCCCTATGTCCACCCCTTCACCTTGTTGTATTAATCTCACCTCAAACTCCTTAACGAATAGTGCAAATAACACCAATGACAATACACCCCTTCTCTCATTCCCCTCTCTTGAACAATTTCCTTTATCCTATTTCCTATTATATTTTACGAGGGGACATTGATGCCAAAAGGCGATTTACCCAAATGAATTTATTGAATATATATATCTATAAAGTAAACTTTTTGATTCAAATCTGTTATTACTCACTGTTAAGTTGGTTGTATGGAGCGGGTAGAACTATATTATGAGCGTGGATTAACACAACATGGTTATCAGGCTTGTGTAGTGTTGTCGCATAGACTGCAAACAAATGCAATGATTGAGATTCATGAGATAGAATGTAACTAAATGCAATGATTGAGATTCATTAGATAGACTGAAAACAAATGCAATGATTGAGATTCATTAGATAGACTGAAAACAAATGCAATGATTGAGATTCATTAGATAGACTGTAAACAAATGCAATAATTGAGATTCATGTGATTGACTGTAAACAAATGCAATGATTGAGATTCATTAGATAGACTGAAAACAAATGCAATGGTTGAGATTCATTAGATAGAATGTAACCAAATGCAATGATTGAGATTTGATAGATAGAATGTAACCAAATGCAATGATTGAAATTCATTAAATAGAATGTAACCAAATGCAATGATTGAGATTTGATAGATAGAATGTAACCAAATGCAATGATTGAAATTCATTAAATAGAATGTAACCAAATGCAATGATTGAGATTCATTAAATAGAATGTAACCAAATGCAATGGTTGAGATTCATTAGATAGAATGTAACCAAATGCAATGATTGAGATTCATTAGATAGAATGTAACCAAATGCAATGATTGAGATTCATTAGATAGAATGTAACCAAATGCAATGATTGAGATTCATTAGATATACTGTTAACAAATGCAATGATTGATCGAGATTTTAATTATAATCCAATCTGCTTTTCAAATTGATGGGGATGAGAAAAAGATTAAGTTGGGACTTAGCAGATCGAGGTAATATTAGTGAACTAGATAATCTCAAAAGCAATCGATGACAAATGCTAACATCTATTTATACAGCTATAGCTGTATACTCCCTTATTCAAAATATACTTACATTCAAATGCTTCCTGAGCGTTCTGACTGTTATCAACGGGAATGACAACGACATTTCTTCCAGCTGCCATTATCGTATTTAAATACAGAGATTTGGGATATGAATGAATGAGCCTATGTTACATTGTATATCCTGTAAATAAAATAGCTGTTTTATATTAATTATATGAATGGAATAGGTCTGTGTTATGTCCTGTTAAGTCCTTTTATTTCACATTTCATTTTATTTCACTACCTTGATATGTACATGTACCTCATAACAACTTATTTATTCTTTACGTACTTGTCTTCATATTTATCCTTCAAATTATACAAGAAGTTACAAGACCCTGTTTTATGTACTGTATAATAACTAATCGCTCAAGTATGAGAGGTTGATTGTATTTATGTTGATTGTATGCAAATCTTTGAACTTACTAGCATTGACGACCGACTGGCAATTGAAATATATCGTAGCCCGTATATTTTTACTTTTTAAGTGAAAGGTTGTAGTGTAGACACAAGATATAAAAACTATATGTTAATGTTGATCAACATGTTTCTATTAGTTGTAAGGATATAAAATCACGTTGAGTTGTTACTAAAGTTCAGGGGGTCTTTTCGCTCATTGTTGGATCAACAATTCATCTTAATAAAATGTTTTGTTGAGAATTGACACATTTCATTATATTCATTGAATTATTGGTGATGTACTGCACTTGATTCTTGTATATATGATACCCTTAAAACTGAGGCTTAAATCCAAGAATTTTATGAGATAAATTACCAACAACGATAAACTTTTTTGTATTGACTGACCCCGTATAAACTATATATATATTCTAATACTTCTCGCATCTGATCGGTCCTATCTATCTACGGACAAATCCTTATTTACAGCATGATCATGTACAGCAACTTCAAGGTGATTGGGATCATGGGCTTTCAACTAGTTGAAAGCCCATGTTGGGATTAATGACTATTTTTGATCTTGAAATATACCAAACTTGAGAATAACGAGACAGGTTGCACCATCAACGAACAAAGGTACACCATGTCGCTTTCTAGATGAGTTTTTTTTAGTATTTTCAGGAAAAACGCTTATCACCAGCTATCGATGCAATTTCAGGTTGTTACGAAGTTTAAAATTTTGGAAATTTAGATAGCGACCTCTTAAATTTCAAAGAAAACATAGAAACACGATGTAGGTAAATATAATCTAAGAGCGAAATGTCCCAGAATTCAAAGATTCAGCAGGTAAAGATGAATCTCATTTTATATCAAAAAATGTTCATCTATGAATTCATGGATATTTTCCCCTCTTTATGGATCATATTTTAAGTATAACGGTCTGAAAATATGACAATGCTAATTTATTTCGAAATGTCATGTTGATGGCAAATAACATACATAATCTAGTTGTCTAATCATCTTTAATCTGTTCATATAAATTATATTTGATGAATATGTTTGAATGTTATTTCTGGACAAAAATGATGGCGAACATCAATGCAATACGTTCAATAAGTATTAATAAAAGTACAGCATTTACATTGTCCAATTTATGACGTGAAAAATAGAATCAAAAAAGCCTTTTAACAGTATTTATTGAACGCTCTGTATGTTGACGCCATGGTGTTTCTGCAACTCATGTTGCCGTACATGTATTTCCATGGATTGTAACAAAATGTATAACTAAGTCAAATACAACAAGCATTTGGACGATTAAAACGGAAAAATAAACGAATAAACATGTTTATAGTTGTTTTACTGCAAACTGTTATATCTTCCATAATGTGTTCTAACATAAAACACATTTCCCAACTTCCATATACAACTTGTATAAGCGTCCAAGATACAGATTTGTGAATAGGGCTTATTCCATCCATGCACAAAAAAGCACTTGGCCCGTCTGCCTCTTTCGCATTTCAGTATGATAAATCACAGACGTAACAAGATTCCAAGCGGGCTCCGATTGTTCAAATGTCTAATTTTTGCCGGAAAATCTAAATGTTGCCCGAAATCGCACGAGCCCTCGATACGGGCATGGCGATGTAGGGCATGTTATGGTATGGTATGGTATGGTATAGTATGGTATTACAAGTGTTATTACTGCAACCTGTTCAGGACCGAATCCCTCATCTCATCCGTAATAGTAGCACCGTGTTGCTGAAGAACATCAAGTTTCTCTTTGATAGCTTCATTGTCAATTGCCGCTGTTGGATACTTAGCCATATCAGAGACGATATATTTCACCAATTCAGCCTTGTTGGATTTTTTCACCGATTTGATGAAGCTTTCTATGGCGTGTGGCGGTATGAGGTTGTTACTCTCGTAGTAGCTTACGCTCTCGTGGCATGGTATGTGCTCGGTCATATTGTTGTGCGCCAACCAGAAGGATAATGTATCCGCTCCAGATTTGATCAACATTTCCATCAAATCAGGCCTTTGGTACCAGATTATAACCTGCAGGAGAAGTTCCTTGACATCCTTGGACGTCGAATTCTCTGCGACGATCTTTGTTAACGTGACCAGAGGGTTATATTTTCTATCGACTTTTCTTAGCTGTGTGCACACTGTGTAAAGTGTGTCCCTTGACACTTTTGATGCGCCGGCTGCGAGAAGTAATTTAGCCGTATTACACACACGTTTGACTTCAGCTTCATCATCCGCGTCTGCAATAGCAGCTGAATGCAACAAGGCGATATCAAGGGCGGTTTGACCTGCACCGTTTACAGTATCAATGTTAGCATTCTGTCCGTCTAAGATTTCGTTCATTTTGGGAAGATCCATCTCCTGTACAGCGCGCATGAGGGGAGTAACTTGGGGGTTTGGATCTGATGGTTGTGTGATCGTATGCGACCCCTTGCCGTGTGATCCTCCCATTATGGTATCTAGCTAATAAGGGGTTGATTAATTATTTACGAAGATTGCGTTACTTTTCTCTTATGTCCGCGTATTGTGCAGTTAATTGTATTGTTGTGATTCGGCTTGTTATCTGAAAGTAAAAGTATTATTAGGTTAAAAACATGATGGTAATACGTTCACCTAACTAAAGAAGGGGAGGGGGGTCGTGAATTGCATTATCTTAGACACCCATACAATAGTCTCGAATGCAAAAAGTATTCTGTCTATTTCATAATCAGTTCCACTTCTGCAATATCTGACATTTAACAATAATTATTTCTAATTTATCGCATTACACTCATAGGTTAACTCAACCATGTCTAGATATTGTATTACAATATTCATAATTGCCAATCAGTATGCTATCTATAATAACATTTTAAATGGCAACATTTGAAAAAAATCCAAGCCCTATAAGCAGTCATACCTACATTTTGAACGTATAAATACAAAAATACGAGCAAGCCACGACAGTTCAAATAAAATGGATGGAGTGTTTCATTCTCAATTTCTCATATAAGAACATCAATTTTTCCTAGTAACATTTCTAAATAGTCTTGCATCAGGCCTGTACTCCCCCTCTACTTCTCTTCCTGTCAGTGGGGGCGGGGGGGGGGGCACAAGCAAGGAGCTTTTGAAGACTAGGCTCAAATGACACGAGTCTGAAACATGATATCGAATCACACAAGTTAATAAAACGCCGGAATAAAACGATTCAATGTGAAGTGGTGTTGACATAAGTTTAGGTATGTTTCATTTGGAATGCAACCACCTACATGTACCTGCCTATAAATTATCAAAAACAAATGTTGTATTTGGATTTAAGGATCTCTTAAGGTCACTTAAAACATTTCATGTGAATTCTCTTTATAAACACGTTTAATGTTTGGTGGAATAAAATTGACCTCAAAGGGTTTAATGCCCCCCAACAAAAATCATTTTACTGGATATTTGATATTTATAACATACATGTATACTGCATGTAATTATGAAATGCACTCTTGTTTTGTTTGTGAACGTTCTTGAGGGCATGCTAACCAACAATTAGCGATCTACTGGTTTATAAATACACATAAAAAATATCCAGTTGTTTCAGCAAGTCTTTAGATTGTTGGAAAACTACAGGCCCGTAGCCAGGGGGGGTTTGGGGGGTTCGGGCGACCCCCCCCCCCTGGCCAAAATTTCTTTCAAAATCATGCAGTTTTTCACCATTCTGACTATTTTTTGAGTGATTTTTGGCCAAATTTGCCAAAGTGAACCCCCCCCCTAGAATTTTTTGGAAAAGTGAACCCCCTTGGAAAATTCTGGCTACGGACCTGAACTATCTCCAAAATACTCAAATGTAGCAATTATGTGGTATCCTACCCCCTTCCATCGATTACCCTCCTTTCAAGTCTGACTTCCAAAGATGGGAAAGCCTTAAATGAAGGGTGGGGGAAGGGGAAGGGGGAGGGGGGAATCCAATAGTTAATTCAATATTGAATTTCTCTGATGTGTGATGCTTCATCTGAACATCAAAATCACAAGCCATATCGGGAGAGGCTAATATCATTCTTATACACATAGGCCTATATATGGGCCCGTCTCGATCTATCCCCTCCCTCCCCACGATGCAAGTTGATCTCCCTGATTTGCATGATACTAGTAACAAGCATAAGCAGACGTTTTTAGTGTAACTAAAGAACTCTAATCAATGATTCATCCAAATATACTTACTATTTGTATTTGGAACAGGTGTCTCCGATCCTAAAACATCAGTTATATCGTCTAGTTGACTCTATCAGTGTAACTCCTAGTTTAGAATGCTCGAGACGGAAGGCCACGTCAAATAACAAAATTAATTTCACGAGATATTTGTCACATCCGCCGAGCTATCACTTCCGTATTCTCAAAACACAATGATAAACACAAATATCAATCCAATGAGTCTGTCACTACAAAGTAAATTTTACTGCTCTTATGTATTTTCTATTTTTACTTTTTTGCGTTACTTTAGAGTATAGCTTTGTAACGCATACAGCTAAATATATATTTGGGTGTACTATACTTAATTTGACATATTGCACAGGCCGCTGGTTGTTTATAGTACGAATATAAGTTGACTTGAAGTGCAAACGATTAAAGCCCCTGTGTAAAGTTTAAACCACTTTACCTACGTAATTGAAAACCAGATACAATATCTTTAGTAGTGACAAAAAGTTTTAAAAGGCAGGCCCAATGTCTGGTTAAGAACCCCTATCATTCTTACAATTGCAAATTGATTCCAGCAACACTATCCGACATGAATCTACTTGTTGAGACTCAATCAACTTGAGATCTTCCTGAGAAAATGAGGATTTCAGCAAGGGTGCATTGACATACATGTAACATGTAACCAATGACTTAGCATCGGGATGCTATCTTGTTTGTCACCATGTTATTAAACAAATTTCTGATCCAGCATTTGAATAATTTGATGAAAGGACTAATAAAACTATTTTCAAACTGGACAGAATTTTTTGAAATTTCTGGAATACACATAAACCCCCAAAAATGCACATACTAATATACCTCCAAAACAAAACAAAAATCAGAATTTTATACATTTTCTAATAAAAAAAACATTCGTGAATTCATTTGCCGGCTGTCGGCTGACTGATTAACCTATTGATTCTATGACTAACCTTTATACACATTTTACTTTTTATGATCGCTAACCCATTATAGTTTTAAACGTTTTTTCTCAAAAATGCTCCAATACAAACCACTTTTAGGCTAATAGTGTAGTCTTACCCAATGTTATCAACGTGTGATACATTATTTTGGACATTTCTCTTGATGAACAAAGAGTATTACTAATTAATTTATACGCTCCAACACAAAATCATGAAAAGCAGCAAAAACTGTTAATTGATGAAATTGAGAAACACATTTTGAATATGAATGCCGAAAATATCATTTTAGGTGGCGATTTTAATGTAATACTTAATCCACGCTTAGATAAAATGGGAGGGGGAATGATAAGTTAACTTCATATGCCAAGAGAATTGAAACTTTTATGGATACATTTGACTTAACTGACACGTTTCGAACAGCATACCCCGATATAAAACGTTACACTTGGAGGCAAAAACATCCCTTTAGGCAATCGAGACTCGATTATTTTCTTATTTCGACTCACTTGCTCAACCAATTTGATGATATTAAGATCTTACCTGGACTCTTATCAGATCATAGCATTTTAAAATTACAACTAGGTGAAGTTAATAAAGAACGAGGAAAGGGTCTGTGGAAATTTAATAACAACTTGCTAAATGAATCTGAATTCGCGGCTAAAATTCGAGATTGTATAGCAGAATCAAAATTAAAGCATGGTTACCTGGATAATAAAGGCTTACTTTGGGAAATGGTTAAATTAGATATACGTTCGAGCACAATTTCACATTCTATTTACAAATCGAAAATGCGTAAAAAACTAATACTGAATTGAAATCAAAATTATCCATTCTAGAAACCAAGATAAATCAAGATGATGTAACGGAAGCACTACAAAATGAATATTTTAATACAAAATTGGAAATCGAGAACCTAAACAAAAATGAAACCTTAGCCTCCATAGTCCGATCAAAAACTAAATGGTATGAAAACGGCGAAAAGAACAGCAAATTTTTCCTTACTTTAGAACACCGCAACTACATCAATAAAACCATTCAAAAACTACAAACTGAAAATGGTACAATCATAAACGACCCTAAAGAAATCTTAAATGAACAAAAAAGATATTACGAAAATTTGTACACCGAAAGGTTAAATAATGAAGACCTACCGCCAAACATAGATATTTTTGTTGAACAATTGAATATTCCAAAGTTAACTGAAGATGAAAAGGTGTCTTGCGAGGGCTTTTTAACGATTGAAGAATGTGCTCAATCCCTCAAAAATATGCCAAATGATAAGTCTCATGGTACTGATGGTTTCACAACTAACTTCTACAAGTTTTTCTGGATTAACATTAAAGATCTAGTTGTCGATAGTTTGAATTATGGCTTTGAGTCTGGAGAACTCTCTATCTCACAAAAACAAGGAGTCGTTACCTTAATTCCAAAAAAGATAAAATTAGATTATTCCTCAAAAATTGGAGACCAATTACCCTTTTAAACACCGACTATAAAATAGGTACCAAATCAATTGCTAACAGAATACGGAAAACCTTAACATCCATAATAAATACCGACCAATCCGCATATGTAACAGATCGATACATAGGGGAAAACATTAGAATTATAGAAGATATTTTAGAATACACAGACCAAGGTAACATCCCCGGGTTACTCCTACAAATCGATTTTGAGAAAGCCTTCGATTCTGTCAACTGGAATTTCATCGAGAAAGCACTTAATTTATTCAATTTTGGTAATACATTGATCAAATGGGTAAAAACTTTTTACAAAAATGCTCAAACGTGTATATCCAACAACGGATACCAATCGACTATGTTTTCACCTTCTAGGGGAGTCCGACAAGGATGCCCCCTATCGGCATACCTTTTCATAATAGTGGCGGAAATACTAGCTTTATCTATTAGACAAAATATAAATATTCAAGGCATTATTTTGAATAATACTGAGATTAAACTTTCAATGTTTGCGGACGATACAACTTTTTTCCTAGATTCAATTGCATCAACTGAAAATGCCCTTCAGACTCTAAAAAGATTCTCTGAAATTTCTGGCCTCAAGCCCAACCTTCAGAAAACAGAAGGAAGATGGTTAGGTCTCTTTAAAACATCACCCCCACAAATTGCACCAAAAAGTCTTGTCTCAAAAATTAAAATCAATAATGAAAATTTTTACACCCTCGGAGTATGGTTTAGTCAAAATATAAACGAACGGAATGACCTTAACTTCTCTCCTAAGATTAAATCTATAGAAAACTTATTTAAAATATGGGAATGGAGGAACCTTAGCTTAATAGGAAAAAACGTGTTGATCAAAGCTCTAGGGATTTCAAAACTAACATATCTAGCATCAACCATACTTGTACCAAAACACATCATTAATAATGTTCAAAATCTCATTAATAACTTTTTATGGAACAGAAAACCTCCATTAATAAGTAACTTAACAACCATAGGAAAAATTGAAAAAGGGGGAATCAAGAGCTTACATTTTGAAATGCAAATAAAAGCTTTACAAATACAATGGGTAAAAAGATTATACCAGAAAAAGCCCAGCAAATGGAAGCAATATTTCTACAGCTTTTTTCCTAATCTAGACTCTGAGACAATATTTCATTCAAAATTTCCCGATGACAAGTTGGCCAGGTTACCCCCTTTCTACTATAATATCATGGAAACCTGGAAATTATTACATAATAAAGAGCCCTATAATAAAGAACTTGCTTTAAAAGAGTATATCTGGAATAATGAGTTCATAAAAATTAATGACAAAACCCTAAATTATGCAAGCTGGATAAGTAAAGGAATCCTTCAAATAAAAGATCTCGTTAACAATAATGAATTCTTAGGTTTCGAAGATTTCTCTTTAAAATATAATATTAATACACCTTTCGTTACTTTCTATGGCTTAATTCATGCAATTCCACACTCCTGGAAACAACATATTAAAAACAATCTAAGCAACAAGGCACTTAAAGACGAAGAACTCCAAATCAAAAACACGACAATAAACGTCAAATCTATAAAAACTAAAACCATATATTGGATTCTCGTAGATAATTTATTTAAAGAACCCAACGGGAAAAAATATCTAAATTCAAAATTCAACTTTTCAGAAGAAGATTGGAAACACATTTTTACATTACCTTTTACACCCTATGCAGACAGAGCCTGTGGGAAATATTGGGTGCGGAGCAAATGAGCGGAGGGTGCGGAGCTAACGGTCATTTTTGAATTTAAATTTGGGATATTTCTGAAACTAAGCCGTTTTGGGACTTCAAATATACCAAGATATGTGTATTTGACACCAAATATCAATACAATTGTGAAAATAGTAGCGCAATTCATTCTATAGCGACGCAGTGTGCCTTAAACCTTTCCCAGACCTATATCTTTTGAAATTATCCTTTTAATACTGAGTCCCCAGCATTCATAAAAAATGGTGTTCAAGGTACACTATCTATACAAATTATTTTTGCATCTTGGAAGCCAGGCAGTATCTGTGTGATTTTATAAAAATTCGGAAATGTTTTTCAGATATGAGCCCCCTCTAAATATTGGGTGCGGAGCAGCTCCATAAACGTACCTCCGCACCCAATATTTAGAGGGGGCTCATATCTAAAGAACATTTCCGAATTTTTATAAAATCACACAGATACTGCCTGGCTTCCAAGATGCAAAAATAATTTGCATGGGTAGTGTATCTTGAACACCATTTTTATGAATGCTGGGGACGCAGTATTAAAAGGATAGTCTCAAAATATATAGGTCTGGGAAATGTTTAAGGCATACTGCGTCGCTATAAAATGAATTGCACTACTATTTTCACAATTTTATTGATATTTGGTGTCAAATACACATATCTTGGTATATTTGAAGTCCTAAAACGGCTTAGTTTCAGAAATATCCCAATTTTAAATTCAAAAATGACCGTTAGCTCCGCACCCTCCGCTCATTTGCGCCGCACCCAATATTTCCCACAGGCTCTGTCTGCATAGGGTGTTTTAAGACGGTTCGAGAACCGAGAATACAATGCCTTCAATACAAACTTGTTTTAAACGTTACACCAAATAACCAATTTTTAACTCGAAAGAAAATAAAAAATTCAAATTTATGCGACTTTTGTAAAAACGATAAAATAGATGATACGATACACTTCTTCATAGAGTGCCCAAACTCTTCCAAGATTTGGGATGACTTTAAAATTTTTTTCAATATTGATCTTACAATTAAAGACATAATTGTCGGGAAATTAGATCAAGAACGCGACCACACTTCAAAAGCAATTAATTTTTGCATATTGTATATAAAAAGCTTAATACATAAATCAAGACTCGTTAATACTAAAATAACATTTATGCAAATAAAAGAAATCATAAAATACAAAATCAATGACGAACGAAATATTGCAAACTTAA